GGCACTTGGCCTTGGCCCTGTTCTTGCCATAAGCATTAAAACCAAAGGTGTTATTTGGTCAAGCCAATGTGAAATCCCTCACCTTGGGGATGCCGGCTCCCATCCCAGCACACCTGTAATTCCCATCAGACTTCATCTGCTGCCTGCATGTGCATTCAAGGTGAGCTGCGCTCTGCAACATGCACCCAATGAATGCCAGATACTTTCAGAACAGACAGGTCAGGGTTGCATAAGGGCAAACGTAACTTAGACTGTTCTCATCCAGCATTCAGAGGGCAACGTGGCTCACTCCATGCTGGCTGGGTACTGGGGGGAGCACACAACGCCCACTCCTCGCTCCCTGCTTTACCTGCTGACTGAGGCTGTTGGCATTTCCAGCACAAACCTTTGCTGGTAATAGCATCGTGATGCCACTGCGACGTGACCAGTGAAGTTCCCCTGGTCCCCTTGGGAAGCCTGTGGTCCTGCTGTGACCAGCTGCTTGGAGACACTGTTTGGGAGTGGATATTTATATTATTTGGGAGTTACCTGCTAATGTTTCTTAAAGTCTCCTTCTGTGCTCAATAACACACGCCCCTGCACAGGGACACCTGCATGGCCCCAGGGAGCTGGGTGCAGGTGCCAAGCAGATGCTTTTACACTGACTTTAGCCTGGTTGATACCGCAGTACCTGACACATCTGGTGCTTGATGCCCTCTGCCAAGGCTGCCCACCATCAGTGGCTCAGCTTGAAGTCAGGTGCTCTTCTGTCTGTTTGACCCTTTATGATGGGGCTGCTCTGCCTGCACCACCCGCAGAGCTCAGCCTCCGGGTCAGGGCACTCATCCTCTCCTCTTCCTCTGGTTGGGTTTGGTGTGTTCAGCAGCACGGCAGCTCAAGCCAGGCTCCAGCTGAACCCGTGCATGTGCGCACACAACGGGATACTCGTGTCCGCTTTGCAATACTTCCACCTACAGAATAAAACCCAGAACGGCAGCGGGAGCAGACGGCAGCGGCCCTGGGAGCCGAAGGGCGCACCACAGGCCTGGGGGAGGCCGAGCTGCCGTGGGGGGCTTTAGGGAGCAGCGCCAAGCAGGAGCATGCCGCAGGCTGTGTGTGAGCCCTGGTCCCCTCCAGCAAACCTGGGAAGAGGAATCCTCTGCCCTGGGACAAAACGGTAATTCGTGCAACGTTTTCCCTTCCACTGGAATATAAAAACTGCTCTTGTTCAGGGCAAAGAGCTGCTAATTTTAACTTTTCCAAATGCCCCGCTGGGCTGTGGCCAGGCAGGAGATGGGAGTGGAAAGCTGTTTCCTTCACACAAGTGTTTTTTCCTAAGAGGGCCGTAACTGCCAGTGCTCCTCTGCAACAACACCCGAGCACTGTGCGGACGCCCATCAGCCCCACGGCAGAGAGGGGAGGGCAGCGCAGGGCAGGCAGCGGCTGTAGCAGGTTCATTTCCTGCCCCAAAGAGCTTGCCATCAGCAAGCTTGTGCTTTGGAGGCGGGGAGCAACAAGGAGCCCAGGGAGAAGAGCCGTAGGCTTGGTGGCTCGTGACAGCGGCTGATGTGAAATCACAATTCGACAAACATTCCCTAGCAGGAGCAGGGACCATGGAAGGATTTCCTCAAAAAGGTCCCTTCTGCTGTGATTAACAGCAACGCACAAGGCGCACTGCCGTGCCCGCTGACACTAACCTGTAGGTTTGGGGGAGGCTGAAGCCCTGACGGGTACTTATTGGGCCAACTTCCATCAAGAATATGCTTTCATTGTTCACTAGGTTTTTCTTCCCAAACCATCCAAAGCTTTTGGTCCACGCACATCCTTCCAAGGTCTGTGCCACAGGTGAAAGTGAAGAACAGTCACAACAGCTGGAGTTTACTCATTTGCATAATTTTGTTGAAAAATTAGTAAAAAAATGATTTTTTGAGGCAAAACAATTCTGAGCAACCCAGCCCAACTCCCCACATCCCAGGAGAACCAGTCAGCTGGAATATTTCCCACCAGTTCCTGTGGGCCTCTTTAGTGGTCTCAGATCTTCAAAGTTCAGTGGCAGCAACCTATTTTTGTCGCAGTATTTCTAACAGTGGCTGCAGCATCAGGTGACGCAGGAGTACCTGTACTTCCCAGGAAGATGTCCCCACTGCAGCACGCTGCAGCAAGGGCAGGCACTAAGATGCCATGCTTGGTCCTGGACACTGGAAGGTGTCACCACCATCCCTGAGCTCCTACCTGCCAAGCTCCTGCTTTGCTTACCGAGGAGCCTCCCATGGTCTCCTTTCACTTAGGGTTGCCGATCAGACTGGGCAGCTCGAGGCTTTCACAGCCATTTGCTGTTAGAGCAATGTTTTTCTGGATGCATCCGAGGTGCAGGGCTGTGGCTTGGGGCGATCCATAGATCCTGTTCCTGCTTCACCTCAGCTGCCATCTGCCAAGGATGGTGTCTGCTCTGTCAGCGTTAAGCAAATGTTTGCCTGTGGCCATCTGGGTTCAACAGCGCAGCCTGAGCAACCTTCCTGCCGGCCGTGATGCCTGTGCCCCAGGGACCACATTGCTGAAAATACTGGGAAGATGCAGAGGAAGTACTAAAATATCTTTCATTGCACGTTATCTGCACGATCTGCCACTGGTTTCTTTGGCATCCTGATATTTCATCAGTGCTGGTGAGAGAACAAGCACAGGGATGGGGCAAAGGGAAACAGGTACTGTACTGTGGTACAGCACAAGCCAGGAAAGACATTGCATTCCAATTAGCCGTCCAGTACCTAAAGGGGCTGACGAGAAAGCTGGAGAGAGAATTTTTACAAGGGCATGTAGGGAGAGGACAAGAACGGCTTTAACCTGACAGAGGGGAGAGTTAAGCAGGATGAAATTCTTTCCTGTAAGGGTGGTGAGGCACTGGCACAGGTTGCCCAGAGAAGCTGTGCCTGCCTCATCCCTGGCAGTGTTCAAGGCCAGGTTGGACGGGGCTTTGAGCAACCTGGTCGAGTGGAAGGTGTCCCTGCCTATAGCATAAGGGTTAGAACAGCAAGCCCACCAGGTAAGATGCAGCAGATGGCATCTAGACATTCACCATCACCAGATGTTCCAGCTTTACATGGAAGTTAACTTCAGCTTTGGAGTGAGGGGGGCTGGACACACAGAGGGGTTATTAGCAGTCATGCAGAAACACAAACACAGAGGCTGAGTGAGTCCTCTTCATGGCTCACTGTGATGCACAAACTCCTGACGTTCAACAGAGCCTGAGTCAGTTGCGCTGCTACTTCGCAAGTGGGTTTTTACTGCTGCCTTAGACTGTGTAAATTACTCATATCTAGGGAAAAAAAGCTACTTAAGGTTCCATGGCAACAAACAGTATTTTCCTGAAAGCAGCAAACACATGAAACAATGAATTGCAGATTTTAAAACCCAAGAGGTAACCAAGACTCAGAGGAAGACATTTCTTTCTTCCCTCTTTTCAGAAAGATACTTTTTGTATTTCTAGAGAACAGATACAGATGGGGCCTCGCAGGATGCTGGGCAGCTGCTTATGAGAATGCACCAGTTTCAGTAAAGCTTTTGCTTAACCACAATTTTTTTTTTTCCCTTTTAGGACCTGCAGAACATGTGGCCAAAGACTGGTACTTCTCCTGCAGCACAGGGTACATCTCACCAGCTTGTTTGGCCCTCAGGCTTGGCCCTCTGCTGTGCTATGGGTGGAGGTACCCAGCCAGGCCACCCTGAGACAGACCAGTGCAATTCTGAGCAGCATTCTGGGGGAACAAAGCTTCTTTTATGCTGCATTTGAAGTCTGAGGAGGACTTGGGGGTTTTTGACAAAGAAGCACAACATGACCCTGCACTGTGCGCTTGCATCCCAGAAAGCCAACTACATCCTGGGCTGTATCAAAAGGAGTGCGGACAGCAGGCCGAGAGAAAGGATTCTGCCCCTCTAACTCTGCTTTCATGAGATCGCACCTGCAGCGAGTGATGCATCTAGTTCTGGGGCCTAAAACACAAGAATGATGTGGACCTGTTAGGAGAAGGTCTAGAGGGCCACGGCTGCAAGCACCTCTCCTATGGAGACAAGCTAAGGGAGCTGGGGCTGTTAGCCTAGAGAGAGAAGGACCTGGGAAGACCTTAAGAGTGCCTAAAGGGGCCTACATGAGTTATGGAGAAAGGCTTTTCACAAGGGCATGCAGTGAGAGGACAAGGGGGAATGGTTTTAAACTGACACAGGGTAGATTTACATCAGATAGTAGGAAGTTCCTCCCTGTGAGGACACTGAGACACTGGCACAAGTCACGCAGAGAAGCTGTGGCTGCCCCATCCCTGGCAGTGTTCAAGGCCCAGTTGGAAAGGGCTTTGAGCAACCTGATCTAGTGGAAGGTGTCCCTGCCTGTGGCATAAGCAACCCATCCACAGCAGGTCAGACGCAGCAGACAGGGAGCAGTTTAACTTTCCAGGCATCCCTGCTCTCTTATTCCAACTGCTGCAGAAGTGGACTTGGCTTCCCAACGCCTCCCGAGGGAAGAACACAATTTTCTAGAGCTTTTCAAGTCTTTCACTTGCAATGAAAGCCCATCAACCCCCCAAATGCCCAATTCATGCACAATGGTCCAAGTGATGACAGTTAAAGAGAATTTAGTGTCAATGTATTTGATGTCTAACAGGCAGTACAAAAAAAGCTTTATATTTTATTTCTTGTAAAAATCTTTTAACACATGCAGACTAAAACCAGTGTAAGAAAGTATCCACCATCATTTAAACAAATAACTATACTTAAATATAAGTGTCTGCAATTGACTTGTATAAAAATAAGGTATGTTTTTTACAGATCCATTCTCCAGTTCTCATATCAATAAACAATACACAACTCTAGTACATACAATTTAACTTGATCCTTGTTTTCCACCAATTTGATACTGCTAAGGTTTTAATGTGCAAAAGTTGGTAAGTTTCTTTCCCAAAAAAGAGCCTTCTACATGTTTTAGAAAATTAGATATTGGGTTTAAATTAATCAAATGCTAATCAGTTCCTTTGCTCTCACAGAGTCCACTGCTATGTTATTATATACAGGCCTAGCTAGGAGAGGGTGCAGGGGCTAACTTCAGCGCCTATGCCTGCTGTGTCCTGACCGGCCGCCACTGTGGTGTTTGCCCTTGTGGGACCTCTCAAAGGAGCGGGATCTCTCACGCCGCTCTCTGTGGTGTCCCCGCTCATGCCGGTGCTTCTTGGCAGTGTCAGAATGATCCCTGGATTTGCTCTGCGAACGCGAACGGGACTTTTTCCTTTTGTGACCGTGTCTATTTGCACTCTTCAGCTCCTCCCTGCTGTGTTTGGTGGTCTTCAGGTGCGGTGAGCCGTGATTGTGGTGTCGGCGAGGGCTGCCGCTGTGGCTGCGGGACCTGCTTCTCGATCTTGAGCTGTATGTCCCAGACAGGCTCCGCCTGTTATTGTAGCTTAGAGAAAAGCACTCAAAGTTAAAACGTGCCTTCCACACAGAAGAGAATTACTTTCTCCCACAGGGAGAAATATAATCATTAAGTGATGAATGACAGTGAGCACCTCAGAACATGCCTTTGAATCAAGTTCCTTTGAAAACAAAAGACCCTAAGCCAAACCCAAACCCAGAATGCATCACCTTTCACAACCGCTCCTCCTTGTCAAGAATTTTCCCTCAGTGCCAGACTGGAACCTGGTTATTGCCTTTTTCCTTCAGTGATCTGGCAGTCAGCAATACTTAGGGGAACAGCTCAAGATACAAGCTGGCAGCTTCCAGTTTGGAAGTCAGCCTCAAGATTCTTTAAAAGTACCTACATAAAGCTAGTAGCTACTGCTGCATCACACTGCAGAACTCTGCCCTTTCCCCAGTCACAGAAAACAGGCAGTGCACTGAAGAGCCCAGACAGTACATCTTGCAGCACCGACGGAAGTCATGTTCTCTGGTTCATTTGGAAGAAAGCTGTGAGACATGAAACTGTCTCCTATGGCACTTCTCACTACTTCAAGGTGGACCAAGTTCCAAGAAACTTGTTTTAATTTATAACAAATTCCTTGTGAAGATCATAAAACAGGGTAAAACTACCTTACCTTCACTCCACCACAGACTCATGTGCAGTTTGCACAGCCTGAAGCTTCCATTTTACAGCAAAGCTTTTACAGCTTGAACTATTAACAGCACAGCTACCAACGAAACTGTTCCATGTTAAGAATCAAGAGCCTAAAAAGCCCAACCCAAGTCTCCCAACTTTTGCTGGCCAGCACTCAGGAACTTGTGCCAGGCATCTACAAGCTACCTGGAGTGATCCTACCTCTTGGAAGTGAAGAGCCCTGCCGAGATGTCCCAGAGAACTAAACATGACAAAAAAAGGACACCAACTCCCAAACCCCCTACCCCTTCCCTGCAACCCCAACCAACCAAACAAAAATGCACTACTACTCACTGCCGCCTAGGAGTGTGAGATCGAGACCGTGACTTTGTTCTTGACCGAGATCGACTGGCGCTTCTGCTGCTTCTACTTCTCTTGCTTTCTTTTCTCAAGCTTGAGGTGGAGGGAATTAAATAGGGTTACATTGCTGAGGTACTCATTGCTTCCATTAAGTAGCTCAGAAGTAGAGCTATTTCAACTTCAACTGTACTTCAGTTGAAGTACCAGTTTTTACAGAAGTATTCTTTTAATCAGGAAGAGATTTTTACCTACCCATTGTAAGGGCTCTTTGAAGCTTGCTGCCTCTCTTCTGGATCTTTTTTAAGGGTTTTGGTATTGAGAGATACTGGACTCTTGTCTTGAGCTTTTTCTTCTCTTGGGGAAGCTAAGGAATTTAAGTTCAAAATTAGGTACTTGTTTCACAGACTTTGTCATAAACAAATCGTATCCTTTACACGACTTTACCAATATTTGCACAAAACGTAAATATGAACACAAGAGCCACTATTTCACTTCATTTTTCCATTTGTAGCACATCATTGAAGAGAACACTGGAATACAGCACTTGCAGGGAGAATCATCATTTAAAGCCAACTGCCAGAGGGTGGGGAGAGGAAGAACACTGATCTTCAAGCCAAGCAGTCAGGCCCATCTGAGATTTCATCCACCAGGGCCTGAGTAGTACAAAGAAGAGCTGTCCTTACAGCCCACAGATACAGAAATTGTTAATCTTGGCACTTAATTCCCAATACTATAGGAAGAATTTAGACTGAACAGCAAAACTACAGATTTCATTTTTATAGTAGTCAAACAAATATAATAAACAGAAAGCTTATCTGGTTTAGAAGTAAATCTGTCTCTACAGACAGCTGATGAAGCCCGGAGATGGACTAACCTTGCAATGGAAGGGCTACTATGCAAGACTGATACTTGCTGACAGCACGACAGAGGTGCAGCATCAGGACTTAAACCACAGCTTCCTCACTCAGTAGGGACTGGAGGTTTAATACAGAACTACAGAAACGCGGAATTCTGCCAGCTTTCCCTCACTTTGTCAGCTACCAAGAAGCCTTCTAGAATCCCACCATAGGTCCTGCTTTCATTCTACCTTTTCTAACCTAGGCCCCCTTTTCATAGAAATAAGAAGCTCTCACTGTCTAGTGAGAAATCTGTACTTCCCAGCTTAAAGATCTCTGGAAACTCAGGTGTACTGTTCTTAAGGAGAAGTAACTGCTACAAATACTACTTTTTCTCAGAATACATTCAGAATAAGCTCCTGAAAAGGCCATATAAACAAATAAGAGCCTGTGCCTTCTACTTTACACACCATCACTGGACCAGTGCTCACAGCAGCCTTCAAATTTCATAGGTGGTTTACAGAGCAATAGGATTTTAAGAGGTAAAAGCACCAAGGCAAAACTGTTCTTTATCAACAGAGCTGAGATTTATTGGCTGGTTCAAGATACACACTGCAACAACATGTTCCCGCTAATACCAAGATGGCACCATGACTTTCCCTTTTCTATTTCCTGATGTCTTCTTTCACTGCACTTAAAACACTAAACAAGTACATTAAAAAAGGCAGAGAAAGCAATTTGCAGAGACAGATGCTGCAAAAGGAACCAGAAAGCCTATTGTGACATCCCTCCTCACGGATTAAATCTAGAAGGTCTCTTCACAACACAGTAATATATAATATACTCCTGGGTCTGGACATCTTCATAATTATCTTAAGGGTGCTTATTAATATATCCCTCTCCCATCCATGGAGGAATGGAGTATAACATCCCTTTCCCCTCCTATCTGCTGTTTCAAGGTACTGAAACCGTTTTATAATTTGTTGTGTGAGAACACATGAATTGTTTTGACAGCTCAAGAAGCAAGCCTTCCTCCCCCTCTCCCCTGAACACCCTGTGATGCATATTTAGAAGACCTACCAAATAGTATTACGCAAGTTTCTGTTAAAAACATATACTTACATGGTTTTGACGCAGGAGAAAAGCCACCCAGTGTTGACAGTGCTGGAGTTCCATCTGGATTTAAACCTTTTGCCTTTAGTTTAGCTTCCTGTAGCGCCATTTTTCTCTTTTCTACTTCTTTATCCAGAAATTCATAATTGGGCTGTTGAAGTAACAATGTGGTAAGAAGCTGAACTAATACAAGTCATATTTCCATCTCATTTGTGAAAAATACTCAATTATCTTTTAATCATATGTCCAGTAATGTGACTACCATAATTTGTTCTAACACTCCCCTTACAGGAGCAGCCTTTCCAACATGCTTTGACAGCCATGAGACAAGCCCAAGCTGCACTGATTATTCAATAGGAAAACCAAACATCTTGAAGTTACCTTCTTTCTGGTATAGAGCTTAAGAGTTGTTAAGCATATCTCCTGAATCTCCTCTTCTGTGGTGCCAAAGAGCAAGAACCAGTGAGGACGGGTAGGTAGTGGAATCTGGAAATAACACAACCAAAACCTTAACAATAGAGATTACAGACCATGCTTTTGTTTTCAGTATTTTCATGAATTTTCCTGAAACGAGGTTACTTGCAATCAAAGGCAATGCTAACTAAAGACAGGTGAAGACTCACCTGCAGAGCTCTAGCAGCAAGATAAATACAAGCACATGCTATAGTCTCTGGCTGAAAGCGAACAAACACATTTGTTCGAAGGCTGTCATTCATGTAATTCCTACAACAAAACAAAACAAAATAATTATGAAAGTTGGATCTCCAGTTTGTATCTTTTCATTTAGAGGATAACAAGGATATCAATACTGGAGACTCAATTGACTTTATTATTTTTTCTGTTACTTGGTTTCTTTTGAACTATTGTATTTGATGCTTACATTTGTTACTTCTGTAACAAATTGTGCACCACTGCCATTGTTTTGAAACCCCAATGCAAGTAATAGTATGTCATGGCTACTTCCTAGGTAGGTTACGCTGTGAAGTGTCCACCGAATTAACAATCTAATACAGTACTTTTCATCTGTCCAGCTGTTTGCTTTCAACATCAATGTTCTTGTATTTAAAAATCAGTATGTTTAAAATTCAAATGCAAGCACGAAAGCACGGCATATTTTTAACCTACCATTTTCCAAAGGCTAGATGCAACCTATAAAGTTCATAAAACATTGCATTTCAATCCTACAAGTGCCTCAAGTCACATTAACTTCATCCAGAGAAAAGCATCCAATTTGCTCCCTGAGTGTTGGAAAAAAAGCCTGCAAGTTAGTAATGGGTTTCCCACTTCACTAAGCTACTGTTCTTTCACCATGGTGGCACTACCAAGCAATACATGCCAAGAGAGACATTTAAACAGCAAAGACCTCCATCAGTTTCTAAATTACTGTGCTACAGGAAAGAAAGGAACAGCAGTCAGTAAGTACTGACTCTACAGAAAACCATGCCCAGCATGGCTTCTAAGTAAACATGCTGCATGCACTGCAATTTTCTTTTTTAACTCAAGTTTAGCCAAATGCTAAATCAACTAAACGCTGGCAGAATTCTACCCGATATGTCCTTTAAATACACTACAGCATACAGTAGCTAGGCAATAAAAACATTTAGAAACATTTTTAAAAGTTACTTCTAGAAACAAATATACAAATCCTTTTGACACCCAGACAGAACTAGAAGATGCTGCCCGATGGATATGGACCACTTCAGTGAATCTCGGATGAGAGCTTGCACTGGGTTGGCTGGAGAGAAGGGCAGCCAAACAGGCCATCCCCAGGTCATGGGCTGAGGTGCAGAGGACAGAGCTCTATGACTTACCATCATGGACTACCCTTTAATTAAAGAGTAGAAAAAAGAACAAAGTTAAATTGAGTTCTCCATTATGATGTTGTAATCAAGCCATGAAAATAGTAAGCAGAAACAAGCACTAAAATATTTTAAAAGCATAGATTTGTGTAATAACTTACATATCATTGCTTTGGATATGGATCATCAGGCTTGTTTTTTCTGCTACTATTTTCCTGGCTGGGAAAAGAATGGAAAGTAACTTACCAGGCTGTCTGTACCAGGGTTTGGTTACGCTCACATTCTAAGACTTGTAAATACATAACAATGATCTGAGGAATAAGGGGAAGAAAAAAAAAGAACCCAAAACTCAGTTTTAGTATATAAAGCAACAGTATAATCAAACAGTATTCCAAAACAACTGTGTCTCCTCCTTTTCGAAGTACACTGTAATCTCATATGTCATCCAATCATGTCCATGCAATTCTTAATCTTACTACTTTTTTATGATTTTCAAAACTAGCCACCTTCAACATTTCCCAAGGAAACAAATTCTACCAAAGCCAATGACTATTTGCCCAAGCACTCTTGCATAAGCATTCAACGTAACTACTAAGAAATAAAGAGAAGAAATCAGGTCATTTTTTTTACACCTGCATTTCTTGCTCCACAGCTCGCAATGAGACCATCAAAGTAGAAAAATATTTAAAATTATATTATTTTTGAGAACTCACCTTATGTGGATGCTTGACATGAACACAAAATCCCAACTCCTTCAGTACCCTTCTTTCTGCTTTGATTACTTGATTTTTGGTGTTTATGTAGTTCTGATCAAGTATCAGGGGGCTTGGAGTCCTATAGTTTGCAAGAAATAAAATCAAAACTGTTTTGCATATCCAAAACCAGTGTCATCTCTGTTTTCCCTTCCAACCAACTAATGGCAACAGAAACCTGTTTTCAACTCCTGCAAGCAAGTTTAAGCATTAATCTTGTGCTGTCCAAGTTTAGATCCTGCTTTTGAGTACCTACAGATTAGATGGCCAAAGAATAAAAAAAAAAAAAATCTTCGGCTATTGTGTATGCCAACTGTTCTGGTCCAGCTGTTGGAACAAAGTCAACTTTACAGTGAAGATCTCAAAGAGCCTTTGCACTTCATGACAGAGGTGAAAAAGGAGTGTGATACAACTACCTTTGCTAGGTAGCACTTTGAAGCAAAAGCTAGAACAAGTTGGGTTGTTTTTCTGACATTAAAAGTAGCAAGCTTGTGCCTTATAAACTGCAGTTCCCTACACACTGGATGATTATTCCTATCTCCTGAGAAGATAGCCCTGCTTCTGTGATCTACAAGAAGCCTAGTAAAGAAAGGAATTTAACCTCTGAAATGGTGGCAGATCTGCCTGTGACTCTGAATGCTGCACCCCTTAACCAGTAGGTATGTCACTTGTGCTACTTGCTTTTGCAAACCAAGAGCTCATTTCACAAAGATTTCAAAGTGTAGCACTATTAAGTCCCATTTCCTTCCAGATCAACACCTGAACTCTTCAAAGCCTTTTTTTTAAATTTTAACCATTCTATGCTTTACACACAAGTGTCACACTCCATGCTGTATTCTTTTCCTTGTCCATGCTTAGACTTGACCTTTCAACATTCCACACTGTGCATTTTAATCCACTTCCTCCTAGAGTCAAACTGGCTTTTCCCTCTATTTGTAATATGCCTCACATTCCACACATTTTCCAATGCAGAAGAATGTTTTTGTGACTAGTTACACACTAATAAACCACAGTTTGTTTACATGATAAACCTAGTACACCCCAAGCACTGGTGACAAATTTATTTCACATTACCTTCAAAAGGAAAAAAAAATTCAAAATGGATTAAGAAAAAAACAGCACAGTGTATCTGTTTTATCAGACACAGTGTTTCACTACTAACTTGTCTTTTTTGAATCAATATAAGTTCCACAAGTGGATCACACTTCTCTCCTGTGCTAGGTCACACATAGTATAAAAAAGCTCACTCAAAGCCCCCTAGGTTTCCACCCCAGGAAGAAAGGGTCCATTTTATTACAAGCCTAGGTAGACAGCTTCCCAACTTCAATAATCCACAATTCATGCTGGCTCCTGCAGTCACCTGGAAGGATGCTCATTACCACTGGCCAAAGGATAACAAGCTAGTCACTTCACTAACAAAAGCATCATGTTTTATAGCCATGCACCTGAAATGTGAGCTCCCTCTCCTCTTCCCAAGGGGTCTGATGTGAACTACTGAATTTTCTTGGTGCCAGGAAGAACCTACCATTCAAGTACAAGCCTCACTGCTCCTGTCTCCTAAAAAAAAAACAAAACAAAACCAAAACCAACCAAAGTGTTTTTCTAAATTACATGAAAAAAACTTATTTGGTTAAGTGTTACTCTCGCTCATCAGGCTAAGCTTGCAAAGTTTGTGATTTCAGCTACTCTAAGTATAACCCACTCAGAATACAGGGGTTTTTGTTTGTTTGCTTCTGCAGATCTTTTCCATAAACTGGCAAAGAGTAATCTTTAAAGCTTCTTTATGGTAGCCTCTCAACCAAGTTTTAATTTTACCTTATCACTCCAGCACTACAAGTGCTGTTTGAACACAAGAGCTCTAGAGCGGGAGACTAGAAGAGCCAAGCTGGAGTTCTTCTGATTCACTTCCAATTGATTTCAACTAACTGGGTTTTATAGTAACATTTCTTCCAATGTTGCTTTACACAATTTTACCAAGAGACCACTGGCATTAACAGGATCTGCAAGGGATCATCCAGAGCAAGTTTATGTATCCAGGCTCAGCTTATCCTGCTAACATAACACTTCACCAAAGGCAACAAATCTTGGATGAAACAGGGCAGCTATGGCTTCCAGTCTTGAAAAAAACCAAACCAACAAACCAAACCCCAAAAAACAACACCACTGGGACAACATGACTGCACAGGATCATCCAATAACCTGACAGAGTATCTTCCATGTGTCTTTACATTCTCTGAAATCTATGTAAGAAAGTCAGTATTATGAAAACACAGGTAGCTTGAAGAGCAACAGAAAAGACTGAGCCTTACTGCACAAACAGTTCATAACTTTGGTTAGACATGTTCAACAGCAAAGCAGTAAGAAAGAATGACACTCAGAAGTGTGCTTTACTCTGTTGTCCCATGTTAGCTGGTCACTTACGACACACAAGTTCTAAGTATCTACAGACGTAAGGAAGCCATGAAAATCACTAGTTTATATAGACAGTATTTCAAACAAATGCAGCTTTTTATCAACTTACACAAAAATAAAAATCTGCAGAAGACTTTATTTTGCTCCTCATTACCAGCAAAATCAGGCTCCCCACTGTATTAAGATTTACCGAGTACTTTTGCCATAAACTCCCAAAGTGGTGGCACACGTAATCATTTAGAAGTTGGAAGTTTCAGAGATTTCCCATTGGAAAACTTAATTTTATATTGAGAAAAAAAGAGGAACTTTGCTACTGCATTTGCTGCACTTTGTTCTCAGTCCAAGTAGCAATCATGTTAGGTCTAAGTAGCAAAGCAGAGAAAAATAATTTTTAAGATTATATATAAGATACAATCTTCAAGCCCTTTGCAGCCAAGTAGTAGTATATATTCTTGCTTTGAATCTGTTCTTACAGATCAGCACTAAAGCTCCAGGCAAGACTTTCGAACAGAGAGCTCACAGAGCCAGTCAGTCTAACACCTGAAGTTGCAAACTTCATTGGGATTTAGAGATTGTTTAACAACTCAAAAGATTAACACACATTATAATGTGTTTGCAACAATAAACCAATTACACATACCTGACAAAGGAGACCTAAGTTCTGAAGCTACAGCTTCATTTGATGTAATATTAAGATTTGGTGTCTTTGGAATGCCTAATGCTTTAGAGGAAATGTGCCTTGCATGTAGTTTTGCTCATAATGCAGAGTACTTCTGACAAGTACAGTGTAACAGCAGCATCTCATTTCAAAGACCAGATCCTCTCTTACGCCAGCCAGTAACACAGAAGAAACCAAGTTCTATATTTGTCTCCAACATTGTAAATACAAGCACTGCAGATTTATAGAACAATTTGAAGACCATTAAGTAGTGTGTATGATTAACACAGGCTACTTCCAACCCAACTGCATGAATCTGTTTGCTGCAACAGAAGAACAGCTGACTGAGCATCTCAAACCAACATTTGTGAGATTACACAATGACAGGAGTCATATTTGGTTCCAGTCTCACAGGGACTTTCTACAGCTTTAAGGCACATTTAAGTTAAATGAAATCAACTTCAAACTACATTCTACATGTCAAACAACAGTTGCACTTCGTTCAGAACACAGATGTTTCAGGACACAATTGTTTAAAAAGCAGGATTTTCATAATACGAGCTTTTCTCCATGCACAAAAAATATTTTTACATGCAATACTGTATGACATATGCTCGTGAAAGATCCAGAAGGAAATATGTTTGTCCAAAACACTTTTTAAGCTTTTTCTTACTTCTCAGCATTAGAAATACCACCTAGCAGTAACTCAGTTCACTACAGGTCTTACAGAAAGACAATTCCAATGCCATTCCCAATTCTGCAAACACATACATGTAAGGGACTGCTTACATTGCAATTTATATAAAAATGGCTTTACAAATTCAAGTCTTCTCTATCCATGTGAAGGCATGAATTCAAACTGCAATTATACAGAGCCAGAAAGTAGAACTCAGAACCCAAAACTGTAAGAGAGAAAACAAGCCTACTCAAACTACTCAGACTTCATGTGCAGGTTAAGAGCTTCAGTTAACAGAGAAGCTAGACTACAAGTGAAAAGAAAAGTACAGCAGCCTAACTGATAGTTTCAGTTCTGGGTTGTGTGTGAGAAACTAGCTAGAGCCTAAGTGTTAGCTTCAAATAAAAAAAAAAAAATTAAGCTAGTATTCTAAAAACCTGGACAGCAAAGAAAAAAGCTTATAACAAGATACAGGAGTTCTTCCAAATGGTTCACCAGCGGCCAACCTGTTTGTCCCCCGATTCCAGTGACCTATTCTCAGAGCACTGGCTTCTCCTTGGGGATTTTCGATACTTCACTCACTGTTGCCATGACGACAGCTTCATCTTTATGTACCACTCCACATCACCCAGGCTTTGGTAAATGTAGCTGGTCGCTGTATAGTCGGTTGCAAGGGAAAAAAGAGTTGAAGTTAATAACGTGTACAAATTATATAACTGCAATCTTGTAAAAAGTACAGAAAAATGTTTACATCCTGTTTAAAAGAAAAAGCAAGTCTGAATGTCAGACTTTAACATTTTTAAGATTGATTTCATGCAGATTCACTCAGAATCTCAGAGCAATACCCATTTCTCCAGAAAATAATGGGTAGAAGTGCACGATTTCTCTTGACATGATGCATTTTAGACACCATGTAACATGCACAAGTGACATTCTGATTTGGAACAGGCTAGCTGGAAAGATTCAAGTTCACAGGTTAAGTTCAGTTCCACTGATCCTTCACACACCACCAAGAAACAACTAATTGGTATTCTCACTGCAAAGAAAAGCACTGCATATGATTAATTAACCTTAACTGCCTGGATCAAGGCCAAAATGTTACAAACCACTGAACCAGCTTCAATAATTCAATAATAACCAGACTCTCTTATAACTGCAGTAACAATACCACCAAATTCACATTCAGCATAACTTCACGTAATTCTCACAGGGCCATCAGGGATAACAACTTTAAATAAAAAGAGAGAACAAAGCTAAATGCCAAAGCGTAACACCAAATCATTCTTGTTTTAATCTAAAACTAACTAGGAAAACAAGCACAAGGCAAAGTTTTAGATTCAACAGAAGCATAACCAGGATAAAGACACCAAGAAAAAGCTGGCTTCCCTAACAGATTTCTACTCTGCTCCTCAGAAATGGTTACACAACACTAAAGTTTACATTCCTGCTGTAACCTGGTGATTCAGAGCTGAAAAATAAAAGTGAATTTAAGAATATAGCTAAAAACAAAATCCTCTGTGTAATCATGGATTACCTTATGCTTTAAGCAGCCAACCATAAAAAGGAAAGCTACTTCATTACAGCTGATGTCTCCAATCGCACACTCTAATACTGCTGCATGACAGGTTCAATAGCAACTTAGGAAACTCCTTGCCTTAACCATTCCTTGTTCCTGCCAATATGTCATGTTAACTTGCTCCATACATGAAAACACGTCGCTTTACACACACAAAAAAGCAGTATTAGGCACTCACAACTGAGACCAGCTCTAACAATTCAGCAGGCAATTATCCAGATCTGCACACCGATCAGGTAAGCTTACACTCCACTGACACAAGCACTCAGTACCATAAAAAAAAATCCACAATCTTACTTTTTGCAATTAAAGATGCCTTCAACTTCCGAAACTCAATTACACACTAGCTGTTGACATAGTAGCATTAAAAGCTGCAAAAACTGTAGGCCAAACCATACCTTTTTTTTCTTTCCTAATACTTTCCAAAAACTCCTTTTTTAATAAGCAATGCTGTAATGAGTAGGAAAAACTAAGCTTTCCTCTTTCATGAACTGATACATTATTGGCAATATGACAACATCCGGATGACTACATACTAACAAGAGAAAAATATTAAGACTACTGAACACAGCTAAAAGTCTAGAAAACATACAGCAACCCACTAACTGGTTACTCATACCTAATACTACCTTCCCAAGACTACAAGGCATCAAAAACCAGTTAGCTAAAGGACCTAAAACTACAACCACGGACCTAGAACCGATGCTCATGCCTTGTAGCTGTGTAAGTAACGAAAGCGGATCTAGCTAGTAAACAACACTAACAGTAGACAACACCAGCATTGAACTGTACTGCCTACACAGAAGCCAATGAGCACTCCCTTCTCAGTTTTAGGTCGTTGAACTTAGCCTGGAAAGACACTGTAAACTGAAAATTGCAGCATACATTAGTGACAACAGATGGCTATATTCATAACGAAGCTAATCTTACCTTTTTGCTCTTAACTGACGTAAATGATGGAACACATTGATCACGTCCCTTATACGACGAGGTGCCTCTTCTATCTTGGATGCAAGATTGATGCAGGCCATGGCAACAATCTGAAAATAAAATCAGTTTTCATAAGAAAATTATGTTTAATCCCATTAAGAGCAGAACTGCACAACTTCAAAAACAACAACAAAAAAAAAACCAAAAACAAAACCGTGGCCTGAAAGCTCGAGGAGAGCAGCCTGTTCAGCGTGTGGCTGGCCAAATCCTCTAGTCGCTCAGCACAGGGCCCAGGGCTCTCCTCCTCCTTCCTCCCCTCCTTTTTCCCTTCTCCCTTACCCCACCCTCCCCACTTCCCCGCTAGTCTGTGCCGCACTCACCTCGAAGCTGTGCTTGACGAAGGACTTGGAATAGAAGAACCGATGAAACAGCACCTGCCCCGTCGCCATCGCCACCTATGAACGCAAAACGGAGAAGGCGCAGTAGTCAGTTACCGGGCCCAACCGCCGCCATTTTGTGTCAGGCACCAGCTGGCGCCACCACCCCCCCGCGCAGTCGCCACACACGCCCTTCCCGCCGCACCACAATGGCGGCGCCGGCCCTTGCTCCCCTCCTGCCCCGGGAAAGCCGCGGGGCGCACACCTACCTGCGGCAGGCGGAGAAGGATGCCGGCCGCCTGGATGAGCTCGCACCCCAGGATGCGCAGGTCGGTCTCACACTGCAAGTCCAGGCCGTCCTGCATCGAGGGAGTAGGAGAGAGGCGCTCCTCGGGGATAAGCGAATGATCGATGGTGAGCGACACTTCCGAGTAGAGCCGGTCACCGATAAGGATGCCAGGCGCGGTGGGAGCCGGCGGGGCGGCAGCTGTTGCAGCGGCGGCAGGAGGGCCCGGGTGTGCGGCCGTTGAGGCCATGATGGCGGACCGCGTCCACACCGGCCGCCAGCCACGCACAGACTAACGCGGCCCGGCGCTCTGACGCAGTGCACAATGGCGCCTGCGCGAAGCACGACGGGAAAAAAAAGTCCTCCTGCCCCGCCCCAACGCGCGGCTATTCCCCCCCCCTCCCCCGAGCCTGCCGGAGCCACCCAGTTCCCGTCGCTCCGATCGGCGGCGGCGGAACGGAGAGAGCGCTGCTCCCGGGGGTGGGGCTGGGGCACCGGCCTGCAGATCTCCTTTGGCCAGGGAGGGAGACGTGAGGCTGCGCATGGGCCTGTACGCCCTCCGTGGGGAGGAAGCGGCTGCCCCGGCTATGACTGCGCTGGGGATGGAGCGGGCGGCTGGCGGAGTTTATTCACTTTGTGTTAAACAGCATTTCCCACTGCGTAAGGCTTTCAGCAGTGTAAAGTACCTGCACTGCACGCTTCACGGCAGCCGAAGCAATGGAAATAGGGCTGGTTAAGCTGCGTTTTAAAGACCGCACTGATTCCCCCTTTGGCACCTGCGGCATATCACACGGGGCAGGGGGAATTCTGTAAAATTGAGTAAGAAAATAAACAGGGTGGCTGTGGCGCAATACTGACAGAGGGTGGGCTGTTTGTTCCCGGACAGGAAGTCCTCCAGCAAAGTTACCCTTCATTTAATAGAAAAAGGTTAGAACAGCTACTGCGGGTTAAATCATTGTACGTGAACAGATGGTAAAATGCTGGGGATAAGACCCACACTGAACAAGCACCCTCCCCATCCACTGCATCACCTCGTGTTTGTCTCATGTCACCTGAGGATGTTGGAGTCCCCAGGCCCGCAGAACACACTGTTCAGGGTGACAGCTGGCCCGTTCTGGTGGCTTTTCCCTTATTTGCTGCTCACTCTACAACACACAGGATCAGGGACTCCTTGGGCTGTGAGCAATACTTGGTATGCTGAGTTTTACTTACTAGAAATGGATTATTTTTACAAACTAGCATGTTCGAGTTACATCATGTAAGGCTGCACAGTAGCTCCACTGATTTCTGATGACAGCTGTGCCATGCATAAGGTTTATTTCCAGTAAGTGTTTGAGAACGGAAAACTTTCAGTGGGCCGGGGCAGCTTTACCGTAGTAAGCATTTCCACTGCGATATTACATGCTGCCTGAAAAGGATTATTCTGACAGAACATTGGGTTACAGTCCTGCAAGCTGCATAAATACAGCACCAGGATCTTATAGTGCCCAACTACCTGGCCCCCAACTCCCCAGTTCTTATTTGTAAGTGAAGCTATCGAGTGTTCTGGCAAGGGCAGCTAGCCTGTCCTCCCTCAGGCACCGGCTGTCCGTCTTGAGAGCCTGGAAACGCTCCCTCTGCGGGCCGGCACACTGGGAAGTACAGCACTAGGGTGCTCTAACCGCCCCGCTCTAAGGAGAACGACGAGGCGGCCTCGCCGCTCGGGGAAAGGGCGCAGAAGCCATCACCTCAGGGGGCATGGCGGAGGAGCCCAGCGCAACACCCGCCACTGCCTCCTCCCACCGCAAACCCGCACACGGCCGCTCCGGCCCCGGAGGCCCCACAGATACCGCCGGCTGCGGCCCGCCCGGGTGTGGCGGTCACGACGGGCAGCGGCAGCAACCAAGAGTCTTAAGCCTTTGCGTCACTTCTTGGAAGGGGAGGGCTGCACACCGCCAGCCGTATCCCTCCGCGGCCGGGACTAACTTCTCGCGGCTGTAGCTGCCCGCCAACTGGCCGGTAAATCCCGCCCCGGCGGGGAGCTTCGGATTCTGATTGGCTGTTTGAAGCTGAGTGGCATACCTCCTCGCGGCGCGTGTCCGCCATGTTGTGCGTGGGAGCGGGGCGCTGTGTCTTCTGTTGTCCCCTGGCTGGGGAAGGGCCGCGCCGGCCTCGGCCGGAACAGGGACCAGCTTCCTCGAAGGTTCTTCAGCGCTCTCCTCCTCTGCCTGGTTTATACTCCTGCCCTACCGGCCTGGAAGGGCCCGGTGTCCTGCACACTCGCAGCAGTGTGTTGTAACCCCAATCCCACGAGCCAGCCTGCTGGCTTTGCCCGTAATCCCACAGCAGCTCACCAAGCTGGGGGACTGCAGGTCAAGACAGCATGTGAGCATGCTGCAGCAGGGGTATCTCAAAGAGAAAAACCCAGGGCATGCAGGATCTGCTGGAGGGTACATGCTCCCTACTAGCCAGCCGTGGTAATTTCACACATGCCCATGGGCCACCTGCCGGTCAGATAGGCTTACCGGTGCAGTCTTGACCTTGCGGGGCAGGCCAGGAGCTCCGCAGGGAGGGTAAGGTTGCAGCGCTGCAGCAGGCACGGGAAAAATTATTCCTTCCATTGGTTCAAGGATGGACCTCATGGTCTGATGTGACCATGAGGTTGCCTAACCCCGTGGAACCAGGCCAGGCTGCAGTATAATAATTAATCAAAGCAGAGTAGTTCACTGCTGCCAGGGCTGCGGTGAAAGAGCTTGAGATAAAAGCATTTTGAGAGAGATACAAATCCAAGATTTTTAATCGGGGATAAGAAAAACGGGTGCAGAAACCTAGTCTGACAGGCTTCCAGAGGAATGGCCTTGCTGAAGGAGGCCAAGGTGCCCATGCTCTGCTCTTCCTCAGTGTGGTACACGCAGTAGCTGATCCTGATTTTGGGTCACGGTTACAATGATAAGTCAAACATTACTAGTTTTACAAGAAAGTCTTTTAGCAAGAACACCAGTCCCAGTATACTGTGTTTGCTTTTTAGCTTTCCTTTCTGGTCTTGGTTGGGGTTTGAGAGCCAGTCTGTAACCACCACCGAAATAGTGCTTTTTATAGAAATGAAGCATTTAATTGGGAGGTGCTGTACTTGCAGGTTCATGACTCAGCATGGATTTTAGTTGCGAGGTTTAGTGTGCTCATCCTGTTTTGCTGGTCCTTTCACAAGCTCCCTCCCTTCAGCCACGTACTGTGGTCAGTGAGGTTTTAAAAACAATTTTATATAGGTTAAAAGAATCACACCACCAACCTAGAACATCACTGACCTTTTAGAAACCTCTAACAGTCATCTCTTATTAATACAGCTAAGAAGAGTCCAGTGAACCCACAAGGCTAGCACTATAACTAAGATTATCCATGCCATGGCAAAAACAATTTACAGTCCACTGAGCATACTCAAGATTAAGGAAACAGTAATAAGAGGGGAGCTGGGCAAAAATTGCTGTGGTTGACTCAGTTCTCTAATCCTCAAATTATTCTGAAGATGAAAATACCAGGTACCGTGGTACTTACAAAAGGCAAACAATGCTTTCCATTTTTATAGCAATTAGCAGTGTGTGCCAGATGGGCTGGAAAGAAGGAAAAACAAGAGTCATGCAAGCAGTAGGTATCACTCATCACAGTAGAATTTGCCTACCTTTTTTTTTTTCCATGCACACACCCATCATGCATTAATTTTAATTTGCTTCAGTTTTCTAGGTTACACCTCAATGTTTTAAAACCCCAAAATGTATCTGATTTCCTTAGGTGGCTCAACCTGTCCCTACCACTCTTACCAATTCTTGCTGGTTTTTGTGCATGTGTTTTTGAGTTCACCGAAGTTGAACAGTGTGTTGTCCCATAGCTGTTACACAATTGGAAGTCTTAGCTATGTCAGAAAGTTTTGCTATAATGTGTTTGAAAATAAAGAGTGCAAACAGCATGCAGTAGCCAGTGATGAGGCTGGTACCTGATGTCTCCAAGCTGGCAAACACAAATTAATGCTTTAATTTGCAGCACAATCCACAGAAGGTGGTACCCACATCAGTGGTCCCTGTGCTGTAGAAGTCCACCCAGATGTGCACCATAGACAACTTTGACCTGTCAACCAAGGAGCAGATTAAGTCAGAGCTTTGTTGCCAGGAAGCAGTACACTGATAGAAAACAATGGCAATCAATAATTGTTGGTTGAGTCATCAATATGAATGCGTTAATGAGCTTAATTGTCTTGTGCCCTTTGCTCTGGAACTCTACAGTTCATGGAAGCTCTTTCTTTAGATCAGTTGTATGCAGATAACTACTGGCATTAAAATGGATACTAAAATACGTGTGTTTGTTGTCATGTTCACACAAACAGCCTACAGTCACATACAACATTTGCAGTTTTGGTGTCCATGCAGATTTGGCAGCAGTGCCCTGTTGCCTCCAGCCTTCCCTAATCATTCTTCACCTTCCATAGCAGCTATGGCTGCTGATGCTCCCACACAGAGCAGCACAGGGCTGCCAAAAGGCACTGCTGGAGCAGGAGCCCCATGGCTGGCCCTCTGGGAAGGAACAATTCCCCAGCTCGCCCAAGCAAATAAATGCACTGGGACTGGGATACAGCAGCATATCATGTATTAGGAATCTGTGGTGTTTGTCTTGCAGCCTTTGCACGTTTCTGCAGCATTATGCGTCAAGGCTATTGTGTTCTTCCATGCTTCCAGTTACTGTTACAGAGTCTAAAGCTGAGCAATGAACTGCATTGGCAGAGGATGGCTGAGCTGGAAAGAAGGCAGCTCAGCTTTCGAGTGAGTCTCATGTGAGGGGAATTTTAGGATATCCTAAAACTCCTCTCCAGTGGGCAGTTAGACCACCTCAGTGCCTAAAATCCCCGGAGGACTTCACAGGTTTGTCTGCAAATGTTTCAGGAAATATAATGAAAGAACAGGTTCCTAGGAAAGAACTGCAAATTGTTAACAAGCAATTACCTTAACAGAATAGAAAGGATTTGTTTGGAAAAATAAGTATCTGTGATGACAGTAAAAACCTGTTAAATGACAGATGTCAGTATGTAAGAAAACAGTGGGATGGAAAGGCAGTAAAATATTTTGACATGATCTGATAGCTGAAAGTTTCTGCTGTCGTACCAAGTAGACCAGATAAGACAACAGAGGCTATGGTTCGGTTGATTTGCTCATTGCATTCAACTAATTTTTTACCCTGGAGATTTTAGAAAGTTGGTTAATTTTATTTTCATTTTAATTAAATCATTTAGGAGATTAACTTCAATTCTTCAAGCTGAATCTGATAAATTAACCAAGAATCTAGAATTATTGCCATCTGAGTGATAAAAAT